GTTTGCTCCTGGTGCCCCTGGTCTGCTGGGGACCGTCTCCAGCAAACCAGGGGCACCAGGAGCAAAGCGGTCCGGCGCCAGAGCAAAGCCTCAGAAGCTGAAACTCTGGCAAAGCCTCAGAAGCGCGGGAACCCGCCGCTGCTGCGGGTTTGCTCCCGATGCCCCTGGTCTGCTGGAGACGGTCCCCAGCAGACTAGGGGCACCGGGAGCAGCTTTTCTCGCCCCGGAGCTCGAGGTGGCTGATCGCTGCCTGTGAGCTCCGGGGCGAGAGAGCCCCGTTCGTAAGTGCGGATCCGACATAAGTCGGATCCGCATAAGTCGGGGACTGCCTGTATGCTCATTTAGAAAGCCCTTTAACTACAATTTAGCTATGTTTTGCTTATTTACACATTAAAACCATAATAACTTGAATATAATAATAGATTTTGAATAAGTGCTTGACAGTTTGTGTTCAATATCTGATCATTAACAGGGAATGTTAATAGATGTGATAGCCCACTAGCAAAGGAGAAACTATTCAATGATTTCTAAGGCTGTGACCTCTAAGGCTGTGATCTTGCACTCTGAGCTGTATGTAGGCTGTTTTACCAAGTGGCCTTGTAACCCACTCTATATAGCTCTGAGACTCTCTAGGGCAGAGGCAGAGAACCTTCAGCCTGTGAGCCAGCCTTGGCCCCAGCCCTCAGCTTACCTTGAGCCAGCTCATGGGAAAGCTTATGGTTTCTCAGTCTGGGGTCAGGTAAAGGATGTTTCCCTCCCTTCCCCTTCTCACTTGTGTGTGGCCCCCAACCAATTTTTTTGTGGGTCAGTCGCTTCCGACCTAAAAAAGTTTCCCCAACCCCGGCTCTTTGAGGCATGCTTCGTTAGGAAGTGGGGTGCTACCATTGAGCCACCCTAGACGCTGAAAATCAGCATCTGAGATGCTGCTTACTGGTCTCTGCTGTCTATCCCCCAGTTGCTTACACTCATTGTCACAGAGTTTCACTTAGGCTATGTCTAGACTGCAGGCGGATCTTTCGAAAGAGAAATCCGCTTTTTCGAAAGAGAGCACCCAGCGAGTCTGGATGCTCCCTTTCGAAGACGGCCTCTTTACATTGAAGAACGCCTTCTTTCGAAAGAGGAACTTTCCCCGAGCACATGCCTCTTGTATGACATGCTTCGTTAGGAAGTGGGGTGCTACCATTGAGCCACCCTAGACGCTGAAAATCAGCATCTGAGATGCTGCTTACTGGTCTCTGCTGTCTATCCCCCAGTTGCTTACACTCATTGTCACAGAGTTTCACTTAGGCTATGTCTATGTCTACTGTGGGCTGCTAGCTTAACCCTTTGGGGGTAAAGATGTTAAGAGGTGGGTAATTTGCTAATCATGTAGCTGATAGAATTTTTATCGACTACTTGAGTAGTCCATGAGGGAAGAAGCACTTAGGCTCAGCTTGCGCCAGCTCTGGGAGCTACCCCTGCTGTGGCTCTGCAGTTTAAATGTAGTAAGAGCTGGGCATGCAGGCAGCTTGGCTCCCACTACAATTAAACTGCAAATAAGCTGGAGTAGGTCCTGGACCTGGTGTGAGCTGGAACTGAGTCGGGCTGCCTGCCCAGCCAGAGCAGCCCCTGTCCACAGTGGCCCGGGCTAGCTGCAGGCAGAGGCTACTCTGGCAGCAGCCCCGTCCACGGGGAGTCCCAGTGGACAAAGGCTGCTTCGTGGCAGCCTCCCCTTGCCCCTCCCTCTACCCCCATGCTTCTGCCTCTGATATACAGGCAGCCAAGGAGGGGGGAAATTTGAGTAGTCAACTTGACTAACTGATAAGCCTAGGTTCAATGGTTAGTCAACTACTCAGCCCGGGCTAGCTGCAGGCAGAGGCTACTCTGACAGCAGCCCTGTCCACGGGGAGTCCCAGTGGACAAAGGCTGCTTCGTGGCAGCCTCCCCTTGCCCCTCCCTCTACCCCCATGCTTCTGCCTCTGATATACAGGCAGCCAAGGAGGGGGGAAATTTGAGTAGTCAACTTGACTAACTGATAAGCCTAGGTTCAATGGTTAGTCAACTACTCACTTATATCCCTATGTTGGGGATAATGTGGCAGGTAAGCAAGGAGCAGAATTTCTTAACCACAGTCACATCGCTGGTACAGCACTCAAGTTACAGAACTTTGAAAATAACAGTTTTGAGACGCACAGACTAGAGAAGAGTGCAAATCCCTTGTTGTGAGTCAATGGCTCATCAGCATTTCAAGCTGAGCAGAGTTCTCCTTTAAGTTCTTTTTATCCTTCTCTTAAGTTTGTGTGCTGCACCTGCATTTTCCCTTCAATATTGCATCCACTTGCAGGATCGTTGGAGATATACTGTATATTTATGAATGGTTTGTTTATCACGGTGGGTCAGGGATTTCATGCAAAGCTTCCCAGAGGATGGCACTGCTCTATAGAGATTTACAGCCTGAGTGATTTGCCTCCATCACCCTCCTACTGCGTTTAATTTCTGCAGGAGCCAGTGGTAACTTTTCCCCACTGGAGTTGCCTACAATCCTTGGCTCACCAAAAAAAACCCCATTAATAAAATTACTATAGTATTATCCCCATCAATACTGGACTCGGTTGCAAAATCTGTCACAACGTGCTCAAACTGCAGGCTGGTTCACGCTAGATGGAATTGATTGACCCAGCTACATCATTCGGGTGTATAAAATCCTTACCCAAGTGACATAACTCAGCTGGTTTACGTCCACATGAAGACAGCTCTTAGGCCAATAGAAGAATTCTTCTGTTGACCTAGCTACCATCGCTCAGGGAGGTGGATTTACTAGAGTGATGAGAGAACCCTTCCTATCCCTGCAGCAAGTGTCTGCAGAGAAGAGCTACTGTAAATGCAGGCCCAGCCTGAGAATCTCCAAATCCACCAGGCACACATCCCAGCCTCCTACGGCCTTGTGTAGAAAGACTGTTGTTCCATGGGATGGCCCAGTAGTTGAGAATCATTCAAAGCTGACAGTTCTGCATCTCTATCCGTGTGGTAATCCTTCAGTGATGTATCAAGGTGAGATTAAGGATACTCTGAACAAATTTTTTTCTAATATTTAATAGAGGAAAACAGAAATTATGGTATTCTTTCTTTAAACAGAATGCAAAATGTCAGCAACTGACATTTTCTATTTTTTTTTCTACTAGAAAATTCACTTAAGACTAAAAATACCTTTAAAAAAAAAAAGATTTCCAAGATCTGTACATGTAATGTATAAGGGCTTGAAAGCTATTGATTAAACGTTTTCCACTGATTTGTTTTGAAAATATATTCTTAGACAAGAACAACTACAAGCAATTACTGGGAGCCCTGGATTACTCGTTTCTGTGTGCTTATGCAGTTGGAATGTATTTGAGGTAATTTGTTTCTTTTTTCTCCCCCCATACTACTTGAACTATTAATTCAGACAGCTGCATCACTTCTAATTTGTTATCCTTCTCTTTTGGGAAGCTTCTGATGAGTAATCACTAAAGATAAGGGAGGAGAAACTTGGATTGTTACATTCACTTCAAGCCCTGTGAAAAATGTATCTATCCTGAGACTCTTACAGAAATTCATAGGAAGGATCCGTATTCCCTTGAACAGAAATGTATCACAGGTGACAGTCTAGTCTAGCCCGTATACATCAATGAGTATGTCTAAATAGCAGCTGAGTATTCCTGGATCTGGTAGACATACACATACCCTAATATACATCAATGAGTATTCCTGGATCTGGTAGACATACACATACCCTAGCTCTAGTGATTAAAAGGAGCAGGGTGACTGTGGTGATATCAGTTAGCCACCTGAGTACATAGTGGGCTTGTTCCCTGAATATAATCCTCTCCGAGGTCCTGAGGCACAGTCCTGCTCTACTATGTTCATGCTTCTGTTTTTAGAGCACTATCTCAAGCAGGGCTAGTGCATGCTTGAGCTAGGAATTACACTTCCCAGCTGCTGTGTGGATACTCCCACTGTGACACTAACAGTTGTGTTGAAAGCAATTCCCATTATGCCCACAGTAAAACCATTCTATTTATTATTTCCATATCAGCATTTGTCATATGATGAACCCAATACTTCTTATTATTTAATTGAATCACATTTTACAAATTGCTCAATTTTAATTATAATTTCTGTTGAAACTTCCAGGGGGAAACCCTAATAGATGTAGAAATTTAACATTCTGTATTTGGGATGAAAGTTTGTATGAAATGTTTCACAATGTTTCTTTTAAATATTTTACTCCCTTTACTTCTGTACATTTGCAGTGGTATAATAGGAGAGCGACTGCCTATCCGGTATTATCTAACAGCTGGAATGCTTGCCAGTGGACTCTTCACTGCAATGTTTGGGTTGGGCTATTTCTATAATATACATAACCTGTGGTTCTACATGATAGCACAGGTGAGCAGTCTGTTGTTAGTTTCCTTAGTGGCATTGTCTTTCCACGTTTATTTATTTATTTTCAGGTGTCATTAACATGTAATGGTTACATTGCTGAAAACAAGACAGAATTGCATTTAAAACAGGATGGAATGAAAGAGTTTGCATGCACTAGCATCTCAAGAAATGCATAGTCTTAAAAATGAAGATCTGTTTTAAATGAAATATTTTTTTAAAAGCCCTTGCACTGATTAAAATCCCAGATCATGAATGTGTCTAAACCTAAACTTGAATAATTCTATACCTTTGAAAACAAATACATTTACATTTATTTACCTGTCTGCTATGACCTGAATGCAGGGTACTGGCTTTCTCTGAGTGGTTTCCTGAACTGGTGAAAGTATTTGAGATCACCAACTGTTGCAACAAAAACCCAAGGAGTGGAAATTCTCAGAAATCCTGTGGGTCTGATCCAAAGCCCATTGAAATCAATGGAAAAATGTTGCATTGATGTCAATGGACTTTGGATCAAATCTTAAGTGAAAGGGCTTGTGCTCTTGACTCATTTAGGGTATGCCTACACTTCAAGTGGGAGATACAATTCCCAGATCAAGTAGACATACCCACACTATCTCAGCTAGCATGTAAAAATTATCTGTAACTAGCAGGGTGAGCTACGAAAGAGCCTTGCTTCCCTGAAGTATTCATCAGTCTGAGACCAAAGACACACATTCAGGGGAGCGATCCGCTCACATCACTTTCACTTCCACTGCTATAGAGCAGATCCGCCAACAGGGGGGCATAAGAGGTCCCAGCAATTTTTAAGGGTCTGGGGCTTCCGGCCACTGCTGCTACTATTATGTCCATAGTGTGCCCTGGGCCCTTTAAATTGCTGCTGGAGCACTGCATTGCACGCTCCAGGGGACTCTAAGGCTATGTCTAAACTACATCCCTCTTTTGAAAGAGGGATGTAAATTAGACAGATCGAAATTGCAAATTAAGCTGGGATTTGAATTTCCCGCGCTTTGTTTGCATAATGGCGGCCGTGCAGTCTTTCAAAAAGGGTATTTCGAAAGTGAAACTGCCATCTAGACGGGGTTCTTTCAGGGGGGAAAAAACCGTTTTTCGAAAGATCCTGTACTCATTTTCTTTGAAAGAGGGATGTAGTTTGGACATGCCCTAAGGGCTGTGTGAACAATGGCGCAGTGTGCTCCAGGCAGTGTGGAGGGCCAGCTACCCTTGCCCCGCCCCTTCTGCCCGAAGCCTCACCCCTTCTGGGACTGAGATCAGGAGCTCAGTTTGTTCAGGTACGCGCTATAAAAAGCTTTGAAATCCTTGGATACAACACGATGTGCATATATTACTTTGCTTTTGCTGAAGAATGAAGGTATTAGTGTGGGGGGAGGGGAATATTAATCTAATATTAATTATAATGTTAATTTTTAAGTGCTAATGTAGGCTTATTCTTGTGCAGTTTAGCTTCTAAGGAAGCACTTAACATGAATTGTGTAGGAAATTTCATATTCATAAAGTGTTTTGAAATATGATTTCAGATAGCTAATGGGTTGGTGCAAACCACTGGCTGGCCCAGTGTTGTTACCTGCATTGGCAACTGGTTTGGAAAAGGAAGGTAAAATATTTAAAGTACTGGGACTACATGTGGGTGGTTTTAGGGCCTTATTACAAAACCTGGCGAAGCTAGTGTCAGAACTCCCATTTGAGCTAGGTGATTTTTAAATTAAGTCTTTTAGGGAAGAGCCTTTAAAAATAAGTAAATTACTTGTCTGTCATTCATAGACAGTGTGCGACTCTTGTATTTGGGGAGGCTGGGTGGGAGCACGGGAAGCAACCTAGAAGTGTGTGGGGGGGAATACTGGGGCTCATATCATGGCCCTTCACCACCAGGAGGGCGCAACCCTAGTCAGTCTCTTCTGCTCCTCTCCACCCCCCCACCTACTCACTTCTGCTTGCCCCCTCCTGCTTTAACGGTGAGTAATGGGGTAGCGAGGGCACAGAGGAGAGAGTAGCAGGTGGGCAGGGCCTTTGGAAGAGGCAGAGCAGGAGCGGAGCCTCCAGGAAAGCAGGTGCAGTGGGGGTGAGCCACAGGGGAAGAAGCCAAGTGAGGGCAGGGCTTCAGGGCAAAGCGCAGGCTGAGTCCACACAGGGCCATGATCTGGGCGTCAGTGGAAGACACTCCCACACTTCTTGGTTCTCAGGAGCTTCCAGCAGCAGCATTCCAAAGCCATTGGGCTGGTGCACCCCCAAAAGAAGGTGTGCCCCATTTGGCATTTCTTGCTCCATATGCGGAGGCTTAGCCCCCCAAGCCTCTTATACCTGCTGCCCATGTTGTTGTAGCAAGTAACTTGTTAATATTGTTTATGAGTAGAATAACTAACACTGGCATCCTTTTGATTGCAGGAGAGGTTTGATCATGGGAATCTGGAATTCTCACACTTCAGTAGGAAATATCTTGGGATCATTAATTGCTGGTTACTGGGTATCTACCTGCTGGGGTCTGTCTTTTGTGGTGCCTGGTATTATCATTGCTTGCCTGGGGATCGTTTGTTTTCTGTTTCTTGTTGAACGTAAGTATATATTTCCTTATTTTTATTTATAAAAATAATGTAACTGTCCATCCTATGCTAGAAATCCCCTGTTCACAATGCAAAATACCTATGCAGGGCTGCTGGTACCTAAATAAATATCTGCCAGATATGGGTCATATCCTTCCCAGGAGCTTACATGGAGAAAAAGATGGCGTGTTCAGACGGTCAAGGTCTGGTATGCTAATGGAGAAGTTGCAAAGTCCTAATCTGATCCCCTGCATCTCTCTTATATATAACTTAAGGGTCTTCACTGATCACAACTGTGGCCTGGAAGAAAGGCAAGCTCTTATTTAAAGCACCTCAAACCATTTAGGACTTTACAGACTAAAGCCAAGTCCTTGAATTCCCCTCTGAAACTCATTGGGAGCCAGTGCAAATCATGGAGCCCCCTGGTGTAATGTGCTCCTTGCTAGGACTTCTATTTTAAGCTGGCCATAGCATCCTGCATTATTCTTGTTTCCGAGTGGTCTTAAGATACAACACCATGTGGAGTGATTGTAGCAACATGATTTCGAGGTGACAAAGGCATGATCTATCCTACTAGAATGTATTTGTCTCCTTCACCTCAAACTATATCACCTTGATCTTGTATCTTGACTTCAGTAAGTCGTCTTGGGAAGCAAGGGTCAGATTCTGTGTATGGATTGGAGAATTGGGGTATTCCTAGTCTGATAATATGTGACCTGTTCACTGGACTTCATACGCATGTGTCAGGCTGAAAATGACTTAACTGTGCTCTTTGTCTATGGCCTGAATATTAAAGAAAAGAAACAAAAACTCTATCTGTAGGTCAAAATGAGCGTGGGTATTTTTTCATTTGGGCCTAAATTATACAAGACAGTTTTGCTATTTTAACCATAATTAAAGCAGTAAGAATGCATGCAGCATGAAGGCAATTATATCAGTATAGAATTATTTATATAAAAGCTTATGCCAGCTCAGGGGACAAAATAAACTCTACCAATATAAGGCATCTGTACACCAGTTTACTGCATCTGTGCTAAGGCTTATACCAGTATTGTTAAATCAGTACAAAATTATATCTCTGTCAGGCATAGTTATATTGTTATAGCAACTTTTCCAAGCCTGTAGACCAGGCTTTAATATCAGCAGGATTGTAGGAGAATAATTCCTTATGTTTGATTAACTGGTGTGATGTTGTATTTCAGACCCTAAAGATATAAGTTGTGCTTGCGAAACATCCAATGTAAGTGAGCATGTTTCTGTTTTGATTTCTCCTTTTCAATATAATATTCATGTCTGTTTCATGTTACTTTTATTTTTTAAGTAGATCTATAGGGCATTATTTTGTAGTTGTAGTATGAAACTAGCCATCTGGTATACATTTGAACAATATGGGGCTGTAATTCATATTAGGGGAATGAATAGTGCTTGGTCGTAGGACCAGTAATAATGTAATGTGTTGTTTTTTTAGCTGAATTAGAGTATTCATGTAGTTTGCTGCAAGGGAGATAAAAATGGTGTTTGTTTTTTGTTTTTTTTTAAATAAAACTGGATGTTTAAATTTTGATTAAATTAGCGTACTTTTTTTTTCTTTTTGAAAATCAGTTTAAAATTAACTCTGAATTTAACACAAAATATGTGAAGACCTAAAATTATTATTATCTCTTCAAAGGTTTAAATATATAATAAATATGCTGAATACATGAGCCTCTGTCAAATACTTTTAATTCAAAGTTTGCTTTTCTACATAAAAAATTTGGGAGGAAATGTCTAGTTTTTGTGGCCAAGCTTCATAAATATGGCACAGTAGGTCATGTACATATATTAAGATCTTGTTTTGTTTAATATAAATAAATGTTGTTGTTTGCTGTTTTGTGTGTTAAATTCCAGTTACCAACCTTATGCAGCTTGACAAAAAGCAAAATGTGAATTATCCAGTAAATAAGCAATATACCATTCACCATTTTCTATTCCACTAAAAATATACAATTAAAACTATTTAATTGTTTAAATAAAAGTGTATAGTTGTGTCTTCCTTGGTAGCAAAAAGATGTACCAAATCAGATGTAGTGTAAAGGCTTTTTTAAGTGTAAAACATGGTGTTTTAATAGTTATATCAACTAAAGACAATGTACCTTTCTTTAGAGAATAACCAAAGTGTAAATAGAAAAGTTGATTTAAAATCTGTTCCTTAAATCAAGGCTTTCCAATTAGTTAGATCAATCCATGCTTTTGCTGGCACTAAACAAATCAATCAATCCATGCTTTTGCTGGCACTAAAGTAGTGCATGTCAAGGGAAACCGTGACACGTGTTCACTTTTTGATTACTGGCAATCCAGCACTTGGGAAGTACTTGTATCTAATTCTACTAACATTTTCTAATATTTTGAAAATGTGCGCCTGGCGGATGCAGGAAAATACCATCACTTTTGAACCTTGGCACTTTGGGAACCTAGTGTCTGACTGTGTACATTGGTGGGGTGAGGGTTATGCTTTAACTTTGGTTTAACTATTGTAAACAAAATAAGTTATGGCTATAATGTGTAACCTTTGGTTTGTATTGCTGAGCACTCACACAAGTAACCCTCACTTACTTCTGTTAGGCTACAATAAGGGCATATTTTCACTAAATGCCACAGCTCCAGACACTTTAGTACAGAGATGGAAGGGGTTCTTTATTGCTGTGATAAAATCCACTTCTCTGAGAGGCAGTAGCATATGTGTTCAAACGAGGACTTCAGGGGGTGCAGGAGCACCCCTTAGCTTGAAGCTGTTCACAGTTTGGTTCATATCTCTTAGCTCAATGTCCCATAGAAGATTTTAAACAGAAGTCAGGAGTGCTGGAACGTTTTTTTTAGTGGGATGCTAAATTGAGGGAAATATTCTTCAAACCAAGCCACCTGAAGGAACAGTTTGAGGGGGAAAGAAGAGAGAGATCGCCACAAGGGGATCCTCATATAGATATATTTTCCTCTGGCCCCAGATTTAACTAGGATAAGGAATCATTTGGGCCTATATCATTCACCTCAATGATATCCTTTGACAATGAGTCCTGAGACATTGAAAGAAAATGTCTTGTCTCTGTTTTGAATATATTGACTGTCTTAATTTTTCATGCCCTCTCATTCTTGTATGGTAACTTAGGGTAAAATGGTCTTCTCTGCAGCATTTATTATTTCTTGTAAATCTCTTTCTTTTTCTCTTACTGTTACCTCCAAAGGACATCACCTTTAATCTTTTCAGTCTCTCCGATACAAAGTTTCTGATCATTTTAAATGCCAGTCTCAATCTGCTTTTTGCTTTATTACTAAAATGAGGTGACTAAAATCTGAAAATATTGTAGTTTCTATATTTTCTATTTAATTCTTACTGGATTGAAGTTACATGTATCATAGACAATTCGAGTTAGATTGTTCAGTATTTATTTGCTATCTATTGAGAAACATCCTGGTGAGTGTTTCAATCACTTCGTGAAGTGGCTGGAAAGAAAAAAATAGATCTCTGCATTTGCCACTAAGATTTTCTGAGTTAAATTTATTCCATTCACTTCCTGGACAGCATTGTTAAAGAGCTCTGCACAGCATCTTGCTTTTCTGCCTTACCAAAGCTGAGATATGAAAGAAAAAATGACTTTCAACTATATCAGTCTTCATGTTGTTTAGCCAAAAAAAAAGGCAATTTGTGGATTTATTTTCTTGCAGCCACCCCCCAAAAGCATTATGTCATTGACTTAATCTTCTCAGAAACATTAGCAAGATAATTGCCCCAGACCCAGACTCATTGTGTGATGCATTTGACCTACTGTTTCCATGGAAACCTTGCTATCTGGAGTGCAAAGCATTATTCCCTCCCACAGATTCTTGTTTGCAATACCATAGGAGGTTTTAAACACCTTTATCTCCTAGACTTTTCTCAAAAATAGCTACAGAATGTAAAATTTGCCAAGAGTTCAGCAAATCTTATAGTCTCGCATGATATTTGAATGTGGGAATACCTCAAATTTTAACATTTGAGTTCCACAAAGTATGGAGTATCCTCGATTCCTGTTGACTTCAATGCACTCTTCTTCTGCATTCACCACAGGTTTAATTTGTAGAAGTTAAACCAATTAATATAATATTGATTTAACAAATCTGGTTGCTGAAGTACAGATGTATAACAACTGTAAGGATACATCTATGGTATTAGGACAATAAAACTGACAGTTCATCACTGGAAACAAAAACCTCTGCCTTGGTAGACTAGCTGCAGTATTTTGTGGGAAGGCATACAATTCTAGCTGTTCATATGTTTTCAGTCCTTCGGAGAAGCAAATTCCCATGGGGCATTCATCCTCTTGATAATTTCTAAAACATATTTGTAAATAATAATTGAAGAGTACATTTGAATCTAAATAGAGCAGAAACAATGTTCTAATCACAGATGAAGCATTACAAATTTGTAAGTTACCACAAAGAGTAGTTCCTCACAGAAGCTAAATCTAAGGCATCATCTACGATCTGGTCTGGTAATTTTTTTTTCGTGTCCTTGATTATTTGAAATGTTACAGGGTGCGGCTAAATCTAAGGCATCATCTATGATCTGGTCTCGTAATTTTTTTTTTCGTGTCCTTGATTATTTGAAATGTTACAGGGTGCCTAGTTCCCTCCATACTTTCAAGTGAATAAACATAGACTGCAGTTAAGTACTTTGGCCATTTTAGTGTGGTTTGTGTACTTGTGAATCTGAAACTTTCTTTCAAAACATTTCAGTCTGGTATAAATACCAGAAGTGGAGTCTTTGTCTAAGCTTTCCACAGAAATCTACTTTCCACAAAAGCAGTAATTCAAGCAGTCTATGCAATCTGCAGTAAAGGACAA